GGGGGTGCAACACACCTCACACCTCTAGAAGCCAAAGGGTGAGCTTTTTACCAGCTACGGGACTCCTCAACGAACTCCTTGCAAACACTGCCTCCCTGTTGGAAAGTCTTGAGTTAAAACAAGTTACAGTTGCCTCCTTTCTCCCACTGGTTTAGTAGAAACAAACCAGTCATGGATGAGGTGTCACAGCCACGGCTTGTACGGCATTCACAGAACACACAACCCATCATGATGGACTTGTGACTATCCAAACCTGAGCCATTGCCAGGATAATGCCAAGAGACTTGGCCATAGAAAATAATAAACAAAAATACTGAAGTATCAGTCTTCTGTATGTACCACGTTTTGATGGTGAATCTCAACGTTACAGTTTCTTCCACATTCTCCTCTCCACTGTACCCACCCTAGTCCAGCTCCCAGCATCCTCCTGGTAATGAACACACAGAATTACTTCTCCAAATCTGCATATCCCACTTAAACTGGGTGAAAAACTGTAGAATCAACTACTGCCAGTGCACAGTTTTACACAGGCTGGTCTTTAAACACAAAGCCCATTTGAACATCTCCGTACCCAACACATCCTTCAGACATTTACAGTCTAACAGCAAATACAACCCTATAAACAGTTGGTTCTAGCAGAAAACATCTTAAACTACAAGCTCTAGAGAATCTGAAAATCAGTAAGTTTACTACAGGCCTTTGTGTTTTGCCAAGGATCTCTGTTTTACAAGTAAAATTGATTACAGTTTTGACAAGTGACATGAGCAATCTGATAATCTGCCAAGTGTTGGAATATGGTTCCCTACATTTACTTTGGTATCACCTCTCTGGGCAGCTAGAGAGTGCGGAAACACCAGTTTGGTTTTCCCTCTCAGATGCTGCTTAAATTCTTCAGAGGAAAGAAAGAGAAGTTAATTTAGAATGGTACTTAGTCACGGTACTGGAATCAAACTGTAAAGGACTAATATGAGCACAAAACTGTTTCTTCTTAAGTGCTAAATAGTCTTCAAGCAGCTGTGGGATGGAGAAATACTGGAAAATGAAGGTAGTGCAGCAGTTTGGCACTAATGGCACTTGGTTCTGTGGTGTGTACAGTTTAACAAACAAATTTCAACACTGAACAGGCTTTCCTACAACTACTATTACATTCTTAGGCATTTTTTTTGGTCAAGTGTTCTTTTTTATCAAGCTGCAGACGACCTTCACTAGAATGTCTGGATGCTGCAACACCAGCAAGCTATTTTAAACAGCCCTCTACATATAAAGCATTTAAGTTGAACAGAAATCAAAGACGTGCATGGCTTGCTCTTCAGCTTTAGAAATGCTCTGTCCTTTCAGCACCCTCAAAACTTTATTTATTCTCACTCATGTTTAGTGTGGAATTAACCATCTGATGAAAAATTGTGGTTTAACAGCATATTCTTAACCAGTCATCAAACTTCAGAACCTAAAAATGGGACAGAAAGGAGGAAGATGCCAGCAGACCACAGAAGTGTTTATGTAAGTTTCACTCCTCTGTGGTTTATTCATCAAAAGATATCCACATTAATAAAATATTAAGAAAAAACACTGTAAAATACAAGGAGTGGTGAGTTTCAGAACTTCAACTCTATCTTCACTTCAGGCAATAATGCCTTCATTTTGCCCTCACCACAAACTTCAACTTGAAGACAGATGAGGAAGAACTTTTCTCCTGCAAAACCCTGTTCCATTTTTTCTCATGTTCCAACAGATGACCCAACAGCACTAATAGCATTTTTCCTTTCCTGTTTTCCCATTTTGTGTCACGAACCACTCAACTGAAGCAAGGGATTAATGAGAAGAAAAAGGTGAAAAAAGCAACATTTGAGCCCATAAACTGAAAGATCAACAAGTCTGATTTTATTATATTGTATTCTCATCTGGATGGCACAAAAATTACAAAGAAACATTTACAATATATTTTCAAGTATTAAGTTATGTCATTTCAAGGCTTCCACTTCAAAAAGCTACATTAATAATACACCATACAGATAGTACAGTCAGTTTAGAATTTCAAATAACTTCTTCCCCTCTATTTGGTTTAAATATGATTCAGTAGGCACTAGAAATGCCTGCAGACACTTACTTTCTTGGGACTTGACCTTGCTCTTGTACCAGCATATATAATTTTGCATGTCAGAAAATCAGCCACTCTCAGACATAGCTCACAGATAGTTCATGACTAGTGATGTGCAGGTTCACAACAGAGACCTGAACTAAGTCCCTGACCTCTCCCATTTAGCAGTGATGTGAAAAGAAAGAATGCATATTTAAGTTAAATTAAAAAACTTCTACACTGAAGTAACCGTGAAAATGCCGTTTTAACATCTCATACTTGCTACATTAGTGTTTCTCTTCTCATCAACTGAAAACTTCATTTAAACTTAAAAATAAAGCACATTCATAGTAGTCTGAGCTAGGCAGATGGAGCCTCGGTTGAATTTAACTCAATTATTTCCATTTTGTATATCAGTCAGTACAGGTTTTGGTGGTTGACTCTGGTTCTGTGGCACTAGTACAACCCATCAGTTACAGCAGGGCTATACAATTTAAGATTGCAACTTTAAACATTGCTGTTGATGCCACCACTGAGGTGTAAGGTAACACATATCCCACTAAGCCTTCTTTGTGCTGGCAATGTACCCTGAACAGATGGAAATCTGCATACAGTGGAGTAAAACCTGTTTGATAGGATATTTTCTTTTAAAAAAAAACATCTTGGATGACAGTAAATGATCTGAGCATTCAACCTTTTTTTTTTTTTTTTTTAACCAAAGACAGCAAAAGCCCTGTTACCTCTTTATTCTCATTTCTTATACTACCTTTTAAAATAAAGCAGGAAATGTGGCGAGCAGCTGGTCCCGTCTCTTCTGCCCCAACACAGCTGAATCCACTTTAGCATAAAGAAAAACAAGGATGCTAAATACACATATACTTTATCACACAGTGATGTTTCACAAAGAAAAATCAAACTCCTCTTATAATGATGAACACTTGGTAGGGTCTAGCACCAATAAAGCAAATGACTGAGAGAAAACACTTTCACCTCTACTTAGCCTTAAACACAAAATTTAAGGCTTTAAGAAACAAGACTTCAGAAACACTAAACAGAATATTTTTTTAAAGAAGTCAGTAAATCAAACTGGTTTAGGAAAATCTATTCTTTGTGAAACCTCACTTTACATATTAGCATTTTCACATTTTCTTCCCCCAACTGACATACATATAAACAACCTAAACATTATCATACAACTGAAAAAACAACCCACTCATCTTTTGTCATAGGGAGAAACACTGCCTAGTACAAGAAAACACACGCTATTGTTTGCCAAACTATTTTTCTTCCTATCTGTTAATTATGAAGCATTTTTCAAATCATTAGCCTCAAGATACGTATTTGTTCATTTCCAAACAGTGCTTAATTATTTAAAGTTATAGATTTCCGGATAATGTAAGAGGCTATATTAAGAACTCTCCAGTAAAATTAAGCACATGCATATACATGCAGTATCTTTAAAATTTAAAGCTACTTTGAAGTAAAACAGGAATTTCAGTGTGCACGGGCAGAACTTTACTTAAGGGAAGCTAAAGTAACAAGTTACTTCAATGCACTGCATTCTCCAAACCACAATTCTCATTAGAGGTCCATGCAAAAAAACTGACTCCTCTGCATGAGGACTCCACTGTACAGATATAACCAGTGTTCAGTTTCAGTTTAATCAGGGAAAACTCCACAACATGAACTGGAGTAAGCTAGAGAAGGACTTTTTTTAGGTACCGTGCATCCCTAACACTAGACAGTATTTTAAACCAACAGGTCACAAATTCTGTGACCATTTAAAAGCAATTTACTTACACTTTTGGGACAGTCCCCTATGAGAAAAGGCTGTAAATATCACATCCTCCTTATTAGCATATTTTCCCCTTTTCAGCTCATCAGATACTCAGTTTAATGAGAAATTCCAATTTAAAATGGCAAAAGCACTTGTTTTTTTTTTTTCAATTAAAAACACAGCTTGTGTGTTGATTACTATGCACATATTCATTTAAGAAAGGAAACGAGGAAAACAGCTAATTAGAATGATACGATTGTAATCTCCACCATTAGTTATCATTCAGAGCTAGTAACATTTTGGCAGAGTAGGCCAAGGACCAGAGAGATAATTTCCTGAACCAGTCATTAGAACAGACCGGCCTAAGCAAAGCAAGCTGTCTGATACCGCATTATGGGAATATATTGATCCTTACCAGGTTGCGAGGTGGAAAACGACTGTTCTTTAACCCCTACACAACGGAGCCTGGCAGGGCAAGCACCTAAAAGAGAAACTGTCAGAGAGGTTTTAATAGTAATGTATAACCGAGATGCAGTACAATTTTATATGCATGCTTTCTTTTGCCGATCATTACTATTTTCTTAAGTCTGTCCAGTGACGATGTCTTAATGAAGATTTTGGTTTGGATTTCTAAGCAAGCATTTTCGGCTCCTCAGGATAAGCAGGCTAAACATTATCTGACTTAAGACCGGGTAGTCAGCGTTATCTTTACTGGCAACTGCGAAGTGGAGCCGAGCACACCTTCATGCATCAGGTCGGCATGATCTTTTCACCCAAGTGCTGCAAACGGGCTCTGGCGGCACCTCTGCGTGTGTTCGCGCGTGTCAGTTTGCACGATAACGATCGCAGGGCCGTACGCAGCTTTGCACGGCTCTTTACGCCAACCAGGCACAGACCACTACCGTCCGCACGCCAGACTGACATGACCTACAACCAAGGCCACCATCTGGCTCCCACTGTGCCGTCAGAGGATTTTTTTTCTTTGCTTACCCCAGCCACTTAAGTGCCAGGTCCCCCTCCTCTCCGTCTCCCCCAAGACCACCCCATCACCACTGTATTTATGCTTCTCCTCCGCACCAGCGCCTGCTTCCTCCGCCGCGACGCGAGGCCCCGAGGGGCGAGAACCCCCACGAGTACTTGCAGACCCTACATTTTGAAGGAGGCCGCTGCTCGCCGAGCACAGATGGAGCAGAACTCCACCGACACCTGATCCCGGTCCACGTGGAGGCAGATCCCGCCGGGGGACGCCCACTCCTCCTCAGTCTCCGTCACCACCGCCGCCTCCTCCCGGCTGGCGGGCCGGGAGCTGGGCAAGGCGTAGTCGTGGTCGCTGCTCTCGCCGGCAGGCTGGAGGTGGTGGTGATGGCGGTGGGGGCTGCCCGTGTCCCTGAAGAGGCTGGTGCTGAGCTGCAGCCCGCCGGCGCGGATCCCGGCTAAGCGGCTCAGGAGCTGCCCTAGAGCGCTCTGGTTGGCCAGCACGGCCCGCAGGTAGCTGCTCTCCC